CAAGTTCAGAAGCTTCAACTGGTTCAAAATGCAGCAGCCAGGTTGGTCACTAGAACATCTAGGGTGGGCGATATTACACCTGTACTAAAAGGTCTTCACTGGCTGCTGATCAGCTTCCAGGTGCAATACAAAGTGTTGGTCGTTACTTTTAAAGCCCTACATGGCTTGGGCCTGAGTTACTTGAAGGAGCAACTCTCCCCATACAATCTGCTCTGCACTCTCAGAACATCTGGGACGAATTTATTAGATCATTACCCTACCAGATTAAGATCAACTTCCCAAAGATCATTCACAGCTGCGGCTCCCAAGCTATGGAACAGCCTGCCGGAAGAGATCCATCTTATTACCATGCTAGAAGACAGAGCTCTTCCGGCGGGCCTATCCATCTGATTTCCCAAATTGAATTTAAGGCTAAACAGTACTGTCTCATGCTGCCTGCTAGTTGAGGAAGTTGTTTGATTATTGAGGGCATCTAAGGCATTAGATTTTGCACTGTTTTTATAGTATGGTTTGTTGATTTTATTCTTGTTATGTTTTTATATATTTATCTTTGTACATTGTTGTACATTTTACTGTTGTACTCCTGCCTTGATCCATAGGTAGAGGCAGGAAAATATAAATAAACTATTATTATTATTATTATTATTATTATTATTATTATTATTATTATTAAAACACAGAGCTGGAATTTTCTCTTCTCCATGAAAACTAAGTAAATGTGTATGTTTGGGTAGGTGCATTGTCCATTGTTTTGGGGGTGATGACTTTTTTCTTTTGCACCACCTGCACTGCATTGTTGCTGTTGTTATGTGACTTCAAGTCATTTCTGACTTATGGCAACTCTAAAGTGAATTTATTATGGAGTTGTCTTGGAAAGATTTGTTCAGGGATTGCCTGAGGCTGAGAGAGAGAGACCTGTCAAAAATCACCCAGGGGATTCCCATGGCTGAGCAGGGATTCAAACCCTGGTCTCCAGAGTCATTGTCTAATGCTCAAACCACTACACCACTCTGGCTTTCACACTGCAATGACATTTCCTTCAAATGAGTATAGTTCTTATTTAAATGGATTATTTAAAGCCCAGTCCCTTGAATCTGGTTATTTGTCAGTTACAAAAAAAATGTACTTGGATGTGTCCTTAACAAAAGAATAATTAACTATTGGAGATTGGGAGAATGGGAAATGCTGTTGTATTGTACTCTAACTGAGCATTAGAAAGCTTACTGACTCATTATTTTTCTTCTTTCATTTGATTTCTTTAAAAAAAAATCCCTTAGCTTTTTCCTTGTTTTTCTTCTAATTACTGTATCAGAATAACTATTCACTTAGCCTTTGTTTGCAATGGCTCATATTTGCATTACATTAAGAGATGTAATGATAAACTAATTACTAAAAAATGCACCCATTTTTATTCTTTATTCCTTGTATCCCACTTTTGAAGTAGAGAGCTCCAATACAAACAGCGATAGGCAGGAGTGGAAGTAGTGGCATTTCTATAGACCTATACATTGTTAGATTGTGAAATCAAAGCTCATGCTAAAGTGTAATAATGTAATGAACAGTTTAATTAGTCATGTTTAAATTAGAAAAAGCAATTGGAGATATGAATGTCTCTTTGCAACAATCTAGAGGTGCAGAATGAAGTTATATAGATAAAGGGAAAATGAATTGTTTACATTGAGTTAGTAAAAAATTATATTTTCTCAGGATCTTTTGTAATGCTGTAGTTTTTGCAGAATCAAAATATAGTTACCCCTCTGTTTTTGCAAATTTCAAGTCTGTGTCCCTCATCATGGACAGTGAATGGAGGGGGACAAAATGGGGCACGTGACCATGGCACGCACCTCCATTCTAGCCAATGGAGCTTGAATATCCATGATTTTCCATTTTTTTGGGGGGGGGGGAGAGTCCATAATGAACCCCCCATAAGAATGATTCTGAGCCTTATTGCATGATAAAAGAAAACCAAAATGGGATGGGAGAGTAGCTGCTTTCTCAGTGTCTCTCCTCATGGTGTCATAGCATTCCACCCTCTTCTTAAGGGAGACAGTTGTAAAAGTGTGCCTTTTGTCCTGCTGGAAAACTTGTTTGACAAAGGCACAGTTTTAACATCCATCTTCTTGTGAGAAGGGAACAGAAATGCTATGATGGCATGCAGAGAAGCAGACAAAAAGTTGTTACTCTTCCATTCCATTTCAGCTTTCTTTTCTCATGTGATAAGGCTCTCTGAAAATGAAAATGAGTGGCTTTTATAACAGAGTGTATGTATCAATTAATCAGTTGAAGATCTAAGTGCTCTATGCTACAAACAAAACTTTTTTTAAAAAAACCTGAGAAAATACATTCCTTTTTTTTCTGACAGGCCAAACTAAAACAAACAAAACAAACAAAGCAAACTGACAGTTGCACATATTTGCAAACATTACAGCTGAATCAATGCCAAGATGGAGATACCTGGTTAACCGAAGCATCTGTATTAGCCACAGGTGAAGGAGAGCGACAGGCAGGTGGAGAAGAAATCTCACTGTTGGTTCCCTCTTCCCCAGATTCCTCAGTAACAGGTGACAGAAGAGTGTGACAGCGACCAGCAGTCATCTGCCATGGGAAACGCAATCCCAAAGGACAGGAAGATCACAAAAAGCACATTGTATTTAATGAAGTTCTATGAGGACTCAGTTTCACAGAATGTGCTTTCCTCTCAAACTTAAAGGGTAACAAAAATAGGGACCTTATCACACGGGAGAAATCCCATGCAGAAACAGGATTTAAAAGGTGGGGAAAACCTGCAAAAGCGGGTTGATTTTCACACACACATCGCTGTTAAAGTGTTGTTAACCCTAATGGAAAGTAGTCAAAAGCCTACTTTCAATCATGAATTGCCTCTCAGTCAATGGGAAAAGTGTTGGAAAATTAGAATGAAGTACACACTAAGTCAAGACATCAGAGAAAACTATTATAAAATAATTTACAGATGGCATTTATCACCTGACAGAATAGCCAAGATATACAATAATGGTAAAGATCTATGTTGGAAATGTGAGAAAGCAAAAGGAACCTTTTTTCATCTTTGGTGGGAATGTGTTGAAGTTAAAAACTTTTGGAAAATGATTCACCAAAATATTACTGAAATATTAGAAATAGACTTGGATAGAAAACCTGAGATAATGTTATTATGTATGATAGATGAAAAGACTGAGAAAAAATATGGGAGAATTATCTTCCACATGCTCACGGCTGTGATATTAATTTACGCAAAATATTGGAAAATTAACAAAAATATTCAAATAGATGTTTGGTTGATAAAAATTATGGACTTAATGGGAATGGATCTGCTATCAAATGAACTAGAGGACAAGATAGACATTAGAGTGGAGGAATGGAAAAAAACATATGAGTATCTAAAAAAGAAATGGGGAAATATATTACATATAAAAATGTTCAAAACTTAATTTTGGATTTTTGAGCACAAGAATGTAGCTATCTTTGTAAATAAGAACAGAAGACTGAAACAGTTATAAATAAATTTAAAATGATGATTATAAGAAGGAAGGGATTAATAAAAAAAAATCTAGCGTTATCAAAACTGATAGAACAAGAATAATTTCAAAAAATGAAAGAAGACAGATAAAGAAGCCAGTATGAGGAAGTAATGAATGATATGTTATGTAGTTGTTGTATGATTGATGTTAGTTTTGTTTTGTTAATCGTATTTTGTCCATTAGTGATATAATTTGATTAGTATGTATGCATGTATGTATGTAAATATATTTTTTATTCAAAATAAAAACAAAAAGCCACTCCCTTTTACTTTCAGGATTTTCCAAAAGTAAAAAGAAGCAGCTTTTGACTATTTTCCATTCAAGTTAACCACACTTTAAAAGCGATGTGTGTGAAAATCAACCTGCTTTTGCGGATTTTCCCCACCTTTTAAATCCCATTTCTGCACATGATTTCCCCCATGTGATAAAGTCCTAGGACACAGCTCCTGTACCTTTAATATGTAGGAGAGAAAATTTTGGCAGGCACAACATACCTCACACCTGTTAGAATTCCTCTCTTACATAATTTTTAGACCTAGGAACTTTGTCTTAATTTGCATCTGATCACCTCTGCATACCCCAAAACTATAATGCAAATGAAAGGTGGAAGTTTGTCCTACTATTGTTGCAGGATAATTAAATTTGATTTAGAATGTAGAGAAATTTTGTAGCACATTTGAGATTAGCTGAAATGTTCACAATTAGCCATTGTTAAACTGGGCTTGCCACTTCATTTCCATGCACAAAGGATTTTGAATTTGAATTGATATTCTCACATACCAATGGCATATATATGTCCCTGGCTTCCACTCCACCAAATGCATCTGAGGAAGTAGACTTAAGTCTATGAAAGCTCATGCTGCCAACTTTTTTCTTTCACATAGGGGGGAAGCAGATTGACAGCATGGGGCCGCCCTGGGAAGGCGCGCCACAGGATCGAGGCATCCCCATGCCTCGATCCTGCGGCGCTCCTTCGCCGTCCCTGAAAGGAGCACTAAATAGCACTCCTTTCACAAGTCAACGAAACTGCACCTCAAAAGCGTGAGGCGCACTTTCGCTGACTTATCCGCCGCAGCATGTGCGGACGCTGCAGCGGGAGGTTGCCCCCGGAGCACCGGCTGTGCAGAGGGCCAGCGGCTCCGAGGGCAACCTCAGGAGGAGGAAGGGGCGCCAAGCGTGCAGCTTCCCCTCCTCTTCCGTGCCTCCAGGACAGCTTAATAAGCCATCTGCCGAGGCCCTTAGTCTCAAAGGTGCTACAAGATCTCTCTACATACTGATTCTACAGACTAACACAGCTATATCTTTCAATTTGATTGATTGATTGATTTGAAAACCAAACATCCTCATCCACAAAACATGAGCAAATATATGAGGAACCTCTTGGAGTTGCATTCATAAATTACTGGAACAAACTCTACATCAGGGGTAGGCAACCTTTCCCCTTTAAGGGCTGAGGGACTTCAGCTCCCAGAAGCCTCAGCCATGTTGGTCAATAGTCCCATGTTGGCCAATAGCTCCTGGGATTCTGGGAGCTGAAGTCCTTTGGCCCTTAAAGGGGAAAGGTTGCCTACCCCTGCTCTACATCTAGAAATGCGTGTAAATTTACTAGATAATAGTTGCAGAATTTGTAGAACAGAAGCAGATCCAGACATAAAAGTACAGAAAACAATAAACATTTGGAGCTATCAGGCATCGCACGAACAGATTCCTGCTTGTATAATGAACTTTTCACATCCTCCCCTCTTTCTAAAGCCCTGGATACACCAAAAATCTATTGTGCAGGTATCATAATTCTCCAAAGCAGATGAGGGGAGGGGATGTAGGAAGATCCACTGTGCTGGTGGATGTCTTCTCTCAATGACTTTCAGCCACAATACTAACAGCAAAACATCTGTACTCGTCTCCTAAAGCTTTCTAATTCTAGCATTGTTTCCATTCTTATCTAGTAATGATGTTTTAAATTATGCATACATAGCAAATTTTCCTTCTTACTTACACTTTTCCCTGTTCAATAATTAGCTCCTCATTCTGCATATAAGCTACAATATTGCAAAAATTAAGTTAACATTGCATAAACCTTAGGTTTATTCACAATTATTTATATGAGCTGTGGTTTTATTTGGTGAATGAACTGAATTATCTTTGTTTAAAGAGCTGAAGGCATGTACACACATACATAGATAAAATTATTTCTGTTCTCCTCACCAAATAATGCAAAACCAGACATCTCATTAAAACACAGAGACAACATGGGCTGTGACAACATTCTGTGTGGTACTGTAGGAAATGATACCGCAAATGACAGATACATCAGAAGAAGAGCCAAGATGCATATTGTACATGCATTGCTTACCATAACAACGGAGGGGTGAGTCGTGTGTGCTGAGAGCAGTTCTTCTGAATCCAGCTCCTCCATTCCTTCTGAAAGTCCTTCCACTTCTGTCACTGTCAGCAGCATAGTGGCATGCTTGGCTTT